ATAATGACTGGATTAGGAGAATGGATGCTGATAATGCCTGAACTGGAGGTAAAGGACATTACCAAGATCCATTCTCCTAAGCTAGTCTTAAAGGAACCAGGAAATGGATTGTTCTTAGAATCACTTTTTGTGTATCTCTGTACTCTTCTTCCATGTATGAAGACTGTTTGACATCTTGTTTGAGTTATGTGAACTAAACAGTGCACTTTTTGAACCATTATAAATTGACCAAGCATTTCTGAACAAGTGAGGGCGCCTTTGCTTTGATGTAAATCCAGGAAGACATGGTTCAGGTTGCATGTTATCATGTTCAAATTGTAAACCCAAATTTCCTATCTGGGAACATTTCTGTGAAAAGGATTTTTGCTGGATTATTGCAATATATTTACACAGCAATAAATTGCCAAGTCTGCCATAGCAGTGGTTAAAAAAATCTAGTAATTTTCTGTGCAAAAATCAGTGCAACATTGAGATTCAGTGCCTTGGATGACATCAAAGTTCTGCTCATGAATATGCAAATATGCATTAGCATAAAAACCCAAAAGCATCAAAATATGGGTTAAAATTGCAAAATAAAAATTCAAAAAAGGTTAATGGAAATCCAAAGATACAGTTTCAAGGGTTTTCAGTAAAATTTATAAAAATATTTCCATTTCCTGGTTCCTTTAAATGAATGTTTAAAAGGCATACGAGCTAAGCACATACAACCTGTACATGTACACTGTACATGTGTACTTGTAAGATTTATTTACACATGTATCTGTTCCTAAATACCTTTTGAGTCACAAGTTGACAAAATTATAAATTTCCAACAATTATGTTCAGCAATTGTACTTTTTTGTGCATTTTCCAAACACCTCTTCAGCAATACTATGGCGTACATGTACACAAACATGTACGATACTGATACATACATACATGTATGTACATGACTTTCACAGATAAATACCTCCTTATATGGAGATTGGCACATGCACCTGCATATACATGTACAGTGTATATGTACCTGTACTGCGTAAGGGGGTGCATAGCCAGCAGATGCTTTATCAAATGGCCAGGGGATGGGCTCTTGTCCAATAGGAATGGCTTAAATGTCTGGATATTTAAAAATGTTCATGTATGATAATGTTGGTTCTCCATTACAGTGGTCTCTTTCAGGTGGGACGCTGGCATGAATGAAACAAGACCCTACACACACAGCACAAAGACTAAATCATCGCTTGGTACATTATACATACATGTACATGTATGTACGTAAATTCAGGTTTTAATTAAATCTGTAGTCAAGCATTGCAAAGGGTTCAACCATGACGTCTTTCAAGAATAATATTCAGTTATCAGTAAAGCCAGTTCAACCATACATGCACATGTAGGCACTGTACATGTACATGACACTGTGCTGTACATGTACATACACTGAAAGGGTTCTGGCTACTACAGAACCACAAATGTACTGTACACGTATTGTAGTTACATGTACATGTACATGTACACACATATACTGTACACATACATCTGGGTGAGATTGGGAGGATGAAGAAAAATACTTTGTTCATCCTGTGTTGTTGTTGACTTCTTACCGTTACGCTTACTGCCAAATATTGAACTGGTTAAGCATGAACAAACCCGGAAAACAACATGTAAGATGATGTGAAAGGCTTAGGCCAATCACAGTGTTGTAAAAATGACATTTTGAGGAGCAAAGTAATGACGTGATTACTTTGTCGTGTTTGTGGACAAATTTGTCTGGATAAAATCCGGAATTATACATGTACATGTACGTGTATGTTACTACAATATACAAGTATCATGCTAGCTAGACACCAAAACTGCATGTTGACAGGAGAGGATGTTTATTACAAACCCAACCATGTGTGTTATACATTAGGCACACATGGTCTGCTTCGCACATGTATACACATTAGTCAGTCACGCTTCAAGCTTCAATCCCTAGCAAAACAGTCTGCTGGTTTGTGCACAGATGCATCAATTTCTTCTTGTGGTTTGTCATCTTCCATTCCCAATGAGTATTTACATGTACACTGTGTATACTGTACAAATGTAAAGTGTTACAACTGGACAGTATGGACAGCAATCCACCATGATTTTCTATGGCATGTACATTGTACGTGTATATGTACACTGTACTAGTAGCCTACATGTATCTATAATGTACATGTTGCTTTCAGTCAAGATTTTTGGACAAACAAGAAAAAGTGAAACTACATGTATACAGTTCATGCAAGTGTACAGTACATTTGTTTATGGTACTTTGAATTAAATGCGCAAACTGAAGTGGTGACACACCCACATTATTGATGTACAGTACCTTACACCACACCACGTATCGCACCTGTTAATGCCCATTGCAAGGTACAGTACATGTACATGTACCCCACCTGTTAATGCCCATTGCAAGGTACAATGCTGAGTATTTAATGAAAATACATGAAGGGTCTTTTGTCCAAATTCTTATCACAGCATTCAGATGCGACTAAACCCCATGCTAAATTAATTTTCACATCCGTTTACAAAATTTGTAGATATAGCTTGGAATTTATCACTAACATGCCTCTCCAAGTTTATCGAACAATGTGCAATGTGGCACAAAAAATGAAACAAAACCGAATGTCCCTCAGTGTACATGTACATACATGTACTGTACAGCGTACACATAACGGTACATAAAGAAGAAACTGTCACATCGTAAAATAAAAGGTAAAAAATAAAAAACAACAAAAAAACCCCACTTACACGCACACAAATCCACACACCGTGTCAGTAAATCCAAACATTTATTTAAAAACTGCAAATTGCTCACGAGCTTTTAACTGAACAATGTACGGTTACATGTACAAATTTAGTGTCAATAGGCCTTTCCTTCTATAACGCATGGAGTGCTTACCCACTGCTTATTACTTCCACAGATTCAGAGGAATTGTCAATTTCCTGTTTGTTTCAAACTCTACGCAAGTACCAGTACGTTCACTGGCACAGTCACTAGTGTGCAATACCGAGTGTACAGAGAAGAAAAAAATCACGTTCAACTTCAACAGACATCAACAAGTACAGTACCTCTAGTGATTCAGAACGTGTGTTTGATGACAGAGCCAGAAATAATGAATCGTTGCCAGTTTTCAACATGCATCAACCCTGAGATACTACAGGTACATGTCCAGGGGAAAAGGCATACATATATAAAGTGCACACATACAATGTACATGTACACGTACACATGAGCAGTGCACTGGACTTACCTAGACTGTGGACACCACATGTACATTGCAAATACTGCATGTCTGGCACATGTAAAATACATGTACTGGTACATACATGTAAGTAACAACAGTGCAGAAATTAAGTGATGTGGATGTACATGTACATAAAAATTAATGTCATCATAAATCAAGTCACTTTGCATGGGTTCACAGCGGATTTGTAAATAATTTATCTCCAGCATGCAGTTTCTGTTAAGTGAGCACTATGTACTGTACATGTACGTACATTTACATGTACCCAAAAATTTAAGCGATCACAGTCTCGTTGTAAACTACTACAGTGCTGAATGACATGAAAGCATACAAATCACACAATTCTTTCATTTTATTAACCTCAAAGCTACAGATGTTGTACAGGTACTTTGAACTTTTCTGAGTTTGTGCAATATACCAGCACTAGTACATGTAAATACCATCATCCCCATGCAATGTGGGCTGGTACATGTACAATTGTACATGTATGCGGTATATGTACATGTAACATTACAAAATATACATATACACATACATTTACTTGCAACTTAACATGACAAAGAATTCCTTTGCACAATTGCAGAATATCCCGCACCATGCATGATCCACCCTGTACATGTACTTGTTTGTAGCCAGCTACTGTACGAGTTCAAAATGTCATACATGTACTTGATTGTTCTCAAAAATTCTCAGTCCACCTTGTACAATGTACATGTAGCCATTTCATGTCGTTGCCACTAACAGGATAGTTCGTTGACTGTTTAAAATCATTCCTATTCATTTTGTGTTACTTTGTTGTGCAAAGGGATTTCCACCTTGCAGCCATAACTACATCATGTACACTGGAGCGCTGGGCTGGTAGCGGACCGTTGTTTGAATCACTGGCCTTGCTTCAATGGTCCAGTGTGTAGTTTAACATACCCGTACATGTACACGTAGCCAAGCAACACCATAGCCACCAATTCACCCAATTCATTTTATGTTACTCTGTTCTCAGAAAGATCCCCAATCATTTTTGTTTAATTTGGACTTGATTTTTTTTTCTATTGGCGACTCAAACTGCATTATAGCCACTGATTTCAGGGATCTTGAGTTGCCAATAAAAAAAAAATCCAACTTATACAAAAATGATTGGGGATCTTAGTGGTAGGGTATTCTGGAATCGCTCCAATTTATAGTGCCACCATGACCATGATGACAACCCTTTTCCTCACAAACTCAATAACATTGCAAATGTTGACAACAAAACAAGACATGAATTTGGGCTAGATCAAAGAATGACCACTTTTGTCTCATCATGTTCAGGCAATCATGTCAATACTTCAATAGGCAGGTTGGGAAATACATGTACTTTAAAGTTAACATAAGTTCAAAATCATAAAATGTAGGGCCAACATGTACATGCACTTGCCTACATGTAATGTATGTACATGTACCAGGCTGTAGTACTGCAGGCTGTAGACCCGTAAACAGGGCCTGATGAATACTCCTCTGTTGTATATTAGGCCCTGTTCCGATACATAGGGATTTCTTTCAAATAAATTTCTCCGGGATATTCGGGGGGCATCCGCTTGATTTTATGACATGACTGGTACATGTATGTTCACTACGTACAACAGGGTAAACTATCCACTAGGTTGGTAATTGCAGAAAACTCGCCTTTTCCTCGTTTGGAGGAAAAAATGTTGCCTTTTTTTGCTGTTTTCCCACTCTGGTGGAATATTCGTCGGCCCTGTTTACGGGTCTATGCAGGCTGTAGCTATGTATGCTACATGGACACGATGGACATGATGGAGGTGTATGTATACATGATGTACCTGTACTATAGCCTAAATGGGTAGGGCCTATCAGTAAAACAGTACCAACATGACCAAATATGTTCATCATTGACAAAACTCACACACGACTCACAATTCCTCATGACAACAACATGTCACGATGTTCATAAACTTCCTGTCTTACCATGGTTATCAGGCATTGTCAGGTTGTTCATTATTTCACCACGTTCTGTTCACTTTCAATGACTCTGCATGTTTTGTAACCAGGAAGGGCCAGGGCTAGGCCCAACTTACCAAATTTCTGCAATGTAAACGACTCTCTCAACCATCATGACTGCTTTTCCACAAAACCAATGCATTCCACTGCATTTTGCAAGAAAAACGATGCAGAATGTAACTTCCTCAAATCGTCAGGAAATCCGTGGAAATCCAGAAATGTCGAAATGTACCAAACAACCCTGCCGATCGAAACCACAGAACGAGGAAGTAGAAGTAGAAAGAAATTCACGAAGCGTATCAGTCTAGTACCTTGAACCCACACGTATCGTTCACGTACATGTATCTTCATGAAGATGTCATCTGCGAATACACTCCTCCCCAGGGTATTTGTGATCGGAATATTCATTATCACCTCACCTCAGAATAATCAACCTCGTTAAATAAATGCGGCACTATCTTCAAAGGGGGCGCAACTTAACATGAACGGTGCCGGTATTTGTGACGCGTTCCTTCCTTCTTGTGTGTAGGGGTGTGCTAGGCCTGAGATGTAAAGCAACTCTTCAGTGATGGGGACAGACTACTTCAAAGGATACGCAATTGGTCTTCGTCCTACTATATCACATCAAAGACTAAAAAAATAAGTGAATTTGGGTACCATTCTGTTACAGACAGCATAGGAGTTTTCATTTTTTACCATTTTAGCCAGCCTCCACCCAATCGGACGTGTGCTGCTCCATTAAAAAAAAAACCCTTTGCCGCTGCAGTTTTCATTTTTGGCTTTTAGTTCCCCCACTTTGTTTCTATCAAAATAGACCACAACCACACGAGTGCTGATTCCTTGCTGTATGACCCAATCAAAACGCACAGACAAACGCACACACATGTACATGTACATGGATTATAACCCCACTGTATTTTATCATGGAGGAAACCACTTTTTCGTGGTGACAAATCATTGAGGGGTATGATTGTAAAAGATTCTGTGACTTCCGAACAAATTGTATTCATCAGGACTCAAAAACGGAGATAAAAAAACCATAATTACGCCATTTGATGCAAGGTTGGGCAGAAGTGCAATTACATCTGTATCATGAACATAGCCCCCTGTAGTGTCATGCTGTGTCACTGTCTCCCCCTCCCAGGCTTTTCAAATTTCCATGGCCGGGCAAGTCATTCCCACAACTCATCGTTAATTCCCGGCACAAATTTACGCCATTGCAAAGACAGCAAGATTTGATCAGCCTTGCGTTCGGCCTAATCGATCTCTTCCTAATAAAGTAAAAGGCATCTTTTTGTTAGATGCTTCGTACTTTAAGGTCGTTCCAAGTCACTGAATGCGTGGTAACACTTTTTATTGGTGTAGGACCATCGCAATGACGTCACGCAAGTCGATACACCCTATTTGATCGGAGAGGAGTGTAACGCGCGCGTAACACCTGTGTTCGAACAGGATGTCTCCACGTTAATGGCTTCTCATTCTTTTCGCCAGATTTGCCGATTATTGCTCGATAGACGTTGCTTCAAGTTGTTTACAGACATTAATTGGCGTCCACTTTGTACGGGAATGCTGGTATTTCTCAACTGCATTGCTAGAGAATCAATTTTCTTAAATTTTTTTTCAGCCGGGCCCCACTTCCCAAACGCACAACAGTATAACAAACAAGGAAACTCTGATTTCTTCTTGAACTTCACAGGGAAAAAGGGGGGAAAGGAACATGGAAACAAATTCGTGACGGGATAATGCAGCATGCCTCATGTGAAGTTCATTGTACATAAACATGGCAGTATCGGTTTCAATATCCTTAGCATGCTCCGTGCGATGTTTAGTACAGGGAAACTTGCCCTAGGATGGAAGCAACAAGGGTGCAATTCATTGTGCAAGGCGCCGGGCATGGCATCATGTCATGGGATACAAAATGCATTCTAGAAAATAATTCAACAAGAACTAATACAACCACAACTGTACCTTGAAAAATTATATCTGTATTTATCTAATATTATAATTTAAAAAGCAAAATGGTGTAAACAGTACTACAAAGGGTATACATTTCCTGAGCAAAAATACAGTAAAGTCATGAGTAATAAAACAAAATAATGTACATTTTGAAACATGTACAAAACTTAGTGTTACCATTCGATGAAATACTGGTACTCAAAAGATTGGTATTAAAATCATGAGTATCATTCTCAACACTTTTGAAATTGCATACAATATCAGTTTTAGACTTTAAACATTTCACCACACAAATAGTCAATTGTTATATGGTTCCTTTCACACTTCACTGCACAGCTTTTGCTGACAATCCACTGTGTCCCTAGAACAAAAGACTCAATCAAACCAAAATTAAAAGTTGAAAAATCCAACATTTCTGGAATTAAAAATCATGTCACACTGTCATTAGCATCATGAGCAAATGAAAAGATCATTTGCATAATTTTGTTTACATGTATTATAATAATACATATGGTTCAACCAAAGACCAAGAAACGTACATCTATGCATTTACACAGTAATACTAAAATAATGGCCACAGATGTACCCTTACCAGCATGACTGTTATTAGGTCCAACTTTTTTTTAACCCACAAACAAATATCAGAGCCCTTTTGAACAGACTTGTTATGGAGACCTCGGCAACACCACAGAACAAGCTTTTCAAAGAATCAGTGTGATACTTTGTGAAGACACACTTGTTCCATATACATTAATTGCAAACACTTTCCTACATAACATTCCCAACACATAAATGCAATCAATACAAACCCTTTTGTCCCTCAAGGTCCTGCAACATGAAGAAAAAAAAATCAGTGGGAAATCATGAAGTATAGTGCATAGTGCTCTACTGCCAACAAGTCTGACATTATGACAAAAACATGTAAATTATTGCAAAATTAACTCAAGAACTTCTTAGGATACTTGGCTAATGTTACTAAGAATGATTATTGATAAAAGACACTAAAATGAAAGCCAGCTTTGTGATATCCCTGATCTTTCAATCCATTTTTCTTGGAATCAAACCCCAAGCCCTCTGAAATGACAAATTTGGAATGTACCACCAGTGACATGGCTGCTCACCAAGTTCTGATCTATTAGAGTAATTTTGGCCAAACCAGGATTCAATCTTAAGCTTCTGAAAGGTTTGGAATTTACACAATGAAAAAAGTGCTCTCAAGTCCAGAATATACAAAAGCATGAAAATGAAACGAAAAGGATAAAGAAACAAAAACTAAAAGCAGAGGACAGAAACAGAAAAATAATCAGTGAAAATAAAACAAAAGAATAAAGGTAAGCCCAAATGTATTTCTTTGTCCCGAAAGGGGACAGAATTCTGACAAGGGTAAGTGTACTTGTAGAGCTGAAAGACAATTACTGTTCAATTTAGCAACAAATTAAGAGCATGTGCGATAAAAATAATTAAAAGATCAACATTGAATGTAATTTAAATTACATTTACAGGCACATGTATTTGTTATTTCCTGTATTGTTTTAGTACTCCCACTTATTACTTACAGTCTTGAGTAAATGAACCTACAGAAGCCATTGGTGGGATTGCTGGAAAGAACCCATTGTGTATGTCTTTAATATAAGTTGACTACTTAACCATTTAACGAATTGTAACTTATATTATTGAGCACTGCTACATGTGTACATTTTTGCAATTTTACACAGAGCTAGCCTGATACTCTGACGTCAGATTACAGGGCAACAGAATCCAAGTCAAATTCTTATTTCCTCTAGAATTGCCTCATCCATAGCTTGCTGGATCAGTGGTTACTTCTACAGAAACTTATTCCTTGACTTGATTGCAGGCAATGCAATCAAAGTCTTGGATGAACATGGGCTATCATATGCAGACGTCAAGTGTGCAAACTGATTAGACTTAGGACAGTCAAAGGGCTTGAGCGACTTATCCAAACACAAGCGAATCTCCTGTATGTATTGCCGAAACTCAGAGTTTTCCTGTTCAAGTGAAATGAAAGAAAAAGAAAACACGTTATGTATTAATGATGCGATCAGGTTCCCTGGTTTATTTGAGAGCTTTCATAAACATTGAGATTTCTCCCTTTATAACATGAAACATAATGCAGTTATGTTTTGATTTTCAGTTGACTGGGACTAATACACGTAGCTATTACCGAGATTAGGGAAACTATATGTACATGTATATAACGTACTGTATATACATGTACATCCTGTATATACATAACATACTGAAAGTAGAAATTTCAAGAAGTTCTCTTTCCCTGTTCAGAATTTGAAAACATGTATAAAGTTAAATCACTTGACAAAATAATTTTATCACTCAAAGCAGCAAACCTGTTTATTTGAATATTAACCACATAAAGGCTTTTTGTTTTATCACTTATCATTCCAACTGCATCCAACATGTCACTGATCAAGTTTGTCAAAACAAACTTTGACCAAACTTACTCTTTCTTGGTAGCACTCAAGGATTGGAGTTCCACCTGTACCATTCTTAACAGCCTGCTCGATTTCCTCAAGAGTATATTTGTGAGTAGATGATGGAATGATGCCACTGTTACTCAAGATTCTGTGAGATGATAAAAAATATATTAATGCGAAACATTGGTAAAAAATGGCACGGTGGACGAAGGACTTGATTTATATTTGCAGAGAGAATTAGAAACCAAATGCAAAGACGACACAAAGGGGCTAAAGACTTCCCTATCCCAGCTAAAAATAATTGAAATCTTTTAGAATGTAGAAATTGAAACTTGAGTCCACTTCAATACTCAGATTTACATGTATATGTATAAAACACCTTTACTAAACATGGTTGGGAAAACAAGAAATAATTAAGCTTTACAAATAACTAGAGAACAAATGTGCTGCAAGGTTATTCTAAGCTTCTGACTGATTGTGCCTTGTCCGACTATCTGGACTTTGCCTTTAACTCAAATAAAAATTTGAGTATACTTGTACATGTATGGTACTTACTGATAAGTGTGCTGGTCTTTCCAGAAAATAAAGGTGATTGTTATCCACTTAAAACTCTAACTTCCTTCAAAAAAGGTCCCTTACACTGACACTGACAGCCTACACCACAACCTCATGATGGATGTCATGATACTTTACATGTGTATAACTAAAGGAAATACTACAGCATTATTGCAAACTGGTCTGGCTTACTTGTCAATGTGGATTTGTTGTTTCAGTTGGAGTGACGTCTGAAAATATTTATGTTCTCCAGAAAGTTCTGGGAGACTAGCTGCACACGTGCCATGCTTACACCATTCATGTGACCTGGAATAAAAAAATGAATGGTAAATCTGCCTTGAACCCTTACAGATTGTGACCATTTATTTGTCTATTCAGTCATAAATAACAATTGAGTAGCTCTCTATGCAGAAAATGATAAACTTTAACAATGAATTGGGTTTGTAGAGGCGACCGACACAATGTAGGAAACAGAAATTGTTGGAATTTGCATAATGGGGAAGTCAACCACAACACACTGAGTTTGATTGCTGAGTGATTCAAAAACATGCAATGTATATCTTGGCATCCAAGAGACTGAGACATTTGCACATGTATTTGAGAGAAAAATCTGCAAAGCAAACATCAGTCTTCCACAAATTGCATTCAGAGAGTAATGAGTATACAGAGCTTACAGAAAATTGCAGAAAAATAAAAGAAACTATCCTATCAGACATAACATTTTTTTATCAGACAACACCTTTTGGGAAATAACCATAAGTTTGCTGAATGAACTCAAGCAAGCATTAATTTCTGAACAGATGTACCATGATGCCAAGAAGGGTAATTTGCGATGGTGTCAAAGGGCAAGGTGGAATATTTCCACCATTCCAAATAAATCCACTTCCTTTCCACAACCAATGAGTCCCCCCCTGGAAAAAAGGATAAAGGTGTCTCATAAATGACTGTATAAATTTGCTACAAGATGAAACCTTCAGGTTTAGCCAGTTCTTGCCGAAAAGAAAGAGACAATTAATGCATTAATAGCACCTCTTGGTTTCTATTGATTTAATATTGGGAATTATTTTTCAAAGACACTTCCCTGAAATCGAAACTAGAAACCTTGGTATTTATGTGATTCTTTCTTGGTTTGTGAGTCACTCTCATATTGCAACAGAAAACAATAGCAAAGCAAAGTAGGAAGGAAACGATTCAGGAAGTATATGTACTGCTGCACTGCAACTTTCTACAGGTACATGTACACGTAGATGTTCACTAGACTGAAGTGCAGCACTGGATGTTGGCAGCTAGACAAATGTAACAAATGCCTGTTAGTCTATCAGCCAAATTCACTTTGGTTATACATGTATGCAGGCATGCAACTTGGACTTGGACAAAAAACGAGGAAATTCCAATCTTTACAAGTCTTTGTACGTTTTTTTTTCAATTTTCAATGGTATGAGTGTGAAATGAAAAATGAGGAAATCAGTTGATCCAAGGAAAAGTTGTATGTCTGTATATATGCTGTAGAAGTGCTTCTATCAATGAATTAAGTGCAAAGTTTCAACTGTAAACTTGGGTTAATCATCACAGCAACTGGAGCAGTTTTCTGAGCTCGATGCAGGCTGCACTGCTGGGCAGACAACATTGCTCATAGATTACCATCAGAGAGCCTGCCATTGGCTTAAAATATAATGCATACAAAATGCTGGATGGTAACCAAACTTTTCTTGGCAGAATGACAAATCTAGCATTAACAAAAAGGGGGGAGGGGTCTAGCATTTATGAAATAAGGGGACCCCAATGAAGGTGTCCCTCAACGTTTGAGTCGGGCATAGGTTTGTGACAATTTTCTACTTTAAAGGTTCTCAACAAATGTGCATGTAAATGGTTACGAACAAATGAACAAAGAAAAAGAAATTCAGTCCTAAGAAAAAAGAGTCTACAAATTAGGGCACACTCAGTGTGTGTTCTGCCCTTCTGGATCTGCTGCTGTTTTCTTTTGTTAACAAGTTTTGTTCTTTAGCAGACTCCAAAAATTGACCCTAAAGTAGCTTTTGTCTTAGTGTTGCTTCAACTATGGCATTACCATGTCGAACTGAATTTTGTAATGTTCAGACATTACGCTATAGAAAAAAAGAAAAGAAAAAAAGAAGAAATATGAACAAGCGTACGTGGTAAGTTAACTATTGTCCATACAAAAGCTCAAGGCAAAATAAACAGCAACATGTATAAAAAAGTCTGAGCTCAAACTCATTCCAATGCTGCAAAGTCAAGGCCAGTATGAATGTTGGCTAAAGGCAGAAGCGTCAGTCTACAAAAGCAAGAGCCAAGAACAGCTACTTCAGCTTGTAAAATGAAAACCTGTCAAAGACTCTACAGTACATGTACAATGGGAACTGTGCTGTGCATTAGGGGGTGATAAATGGCCTTCAGAAAGGAGTGCAGCTTTGCAGCTTGATCGGTGCTGAATCTGTTTGGGTCAATCCAGGAAAATTCATAATGTATGGTTCTTAATATAAAAAGACAGTGAATAGATGTTCAAGGAAGATTGTAGCGGAAGGGGTGGTGACACAGGGTCAGGATGGTGAAGGGGAAGCGGGTAAGCAAGGTGAATTGTCAGTTCTATAAGACATAGTGTTAGTCCATATTCCTAGAGAAGTGTTTGCACTGGCATACAAGGTTTGACTATAGTACATGTATGTACTAACCAAAGATTCCAATAAGTACCTCCTTCCAGTAGATCAGGCCAGGTTTTGTTCATGATAGGAATAAGATCCTAAAAGGAAATGATATAAAATGATAAAGATGATTTGAGTGCTTTGGATTAATTTTTCATAATTTCTAAAATTCTTTTTAATGACACTTTTAATATCTGTTTGGGAAGGGAATCATTTGCAATTCAGCCTTTGGGCTATCATGACTGGATTAAAGCTATCAACACAGTTTGGACAGAATATCCCGAGTAATTAGATTGAATGGTTAGTTTTAGGTGTACTGCATGGAATACCTGATTCCTCAGTTCAAGTACATGTACGTATAAGATGATGTAAATAAACACAAAGAATGAAAATTCTCTGACAAAGAGAAAGAATTTTGAGTGACTTGCAGGAATGTTAACACCTTAGAACTGTTCATGAACTGTTCTTACTTCAATTTCATTCAGCTGGAATGGCCAACTTTTGTTGCAATTACTTGGTCCTTCAGTGCCAACCTTTGAGGGCCTGCCATTACACAAATCAGAATATGGGTCATTAAGAAAAATTACGAGTTATTGAATATAACTTCAAAGCAAAATAATGTCACATTTACTCTTAAAGTAACAATTGTACATTTTGATATCAAACTATATAAGATATGCAGAGGATGTTTTTTGTCCATCTCTTTCCTAAAGGTCTCATACAAGTCTCTTTTCCAGTCATTTTCAGGGATAAGATTTTTCTTACCATAAGCCATGGATAGTCCAAGTTGAAACAGCTGTCGGAATAATGCATTTCTGTGCATCATTGTTGTTATGCTTGTGTGATGCCTGCATGTGGACATAAAAAGCACAATGGACCACTTGCTAAAACCAACATTTATTGAATACCTTTTTGAAAATATGGTCATTTATCATTACCCTGTCTGCTAGTGCTACAATTTTCTTCTGATTCACAGCCGGTTCATTTCAAGAAACATGGAAGGCCATGCAACAATGGTTGTAAAATGGCTCAAAACGACAAGAAGAAAGGTACAGTACATGTACATGTATGGACACAAATAACCTGCCACATGAAAGCCTGTACAGACTTTCACACGGCTAGACAAGGCGGAAACAGTATGCCTAACAGCTTCTGTGATGGGCCACAAAAACTACATGAACATCTGTACACTCCGCAAGTCCTTTCAACATGCCAGTACTTATCCTATCACAAAAATGGTTTTTGTGAAGAATATTGGTACTGTAGTTTAAAACGTGTGAAGAAGAGCTATAGTATGCATATTTATAGGATCAGTGTCCTTCTTTATAGATTGCCCGGAAAACAATGAACACCAATCAGATGTGGCACAATATTAATCTTAACTTTTTTCTTTTGTTTTTTAGTCTGCAGCGTGCAGGAAGGTGTCAAATATAAAGACAAAAAAGAATATTACTTGTTACACAATGACTGCTTTAGTTGCCTTACATTATAGTACATGCAGAAACTCTCTGGCCACTGGTTCACAAAGAGAAGATAGTCCCAGGAAAAGGACATTGTTGTTTTATCTTTTGCACCGTTTTCACTGAAAAAAATGCAGAGAGAAAAATAAATACACTGTACATGGTGTAATCCTGAACCAAACTTTTGGGGAGAGTGCCAAAAAATTGGAATTTTTTTTCATGTGACCTTTAACCCTAACATCCATGTTACCTTTTCAGGAGTGAGGTTACATAGGCCTAAACATTTAAATTTGGGGCTTTTAGCATGCTTTTTGAAGGAGGGAAATGAAATAGGCCAAAAGATTTTGCATTTCTATCAATTTTTTCAGAAATATTTAATTCCTTTGTTGTTTGGGAAGCATGGCATTCCTCTCCCCTTCCACTAATCCATCCTTACATTGATCGCTTTAACATAATGCTTTAACCGCTCTGTCTCATAAAGAACAACCATGGGATTATTCATGTGTTCTACATGTAGGCTTCTCTTTTTAAATCGAACATATGGTGAACAAGGCAACATCTGAACATGGAAAGAGTAAAATAATGAAAAGTCCCAAAGTGTAACTGTTAACAAGACAACCTTAAGACAACTAATTAGGGGTAAGATGCGAGGTGATGCATTGGCATAACCATAACAACCTGAGATGTGCAAGCTGTCGTGTCAGTCAAGTCTACTTCAACAAGGAAGGAGCTCAATTGCAGAATACTACGCCACCCCACATGATCAACCTCATAGCCAGGTACAGGTCAAAGTGCCACACTCTTTTCAAGGGATTTTCACCTTGTACCCACGTAATCAGTCATTCCAGGGGTCGTTTTTTTTAGAGTGGCAGGGTATTCTGCAATTACTCCCAATTGGGGAAGGATGGCCATGATGATGGTGGGTACAACAATGTGTACGTGTAGGCCTACACCCAGAATTGTGAGGCAAATGCGTCGGACAAGCCGTCTAACAGCTGGGCTACATTGGTACTGTATACGAACGTACATGTAGGCCTAGCCTAACTAGGTGTATTTGTACACTCACCGCACGGATTTGGAAACAACTTTGGGCATTGAAAACGAGCCACTCAACGCAAACAAGAATACCAAAGCAAACACAAAAACATGGATCCCGTATAGAGACATTTTGAAGGTACCAGTTCAGCAACCCGAATGACCATGCGGAAAAGGAAGATACATGTAAAAAGCTATTTCAAGCGCAGTACCACCACCACGTGATTCGACTCTCCAAACAAACAACCGAAACTTAACAGCTGATAGAAATAGCGCCCTCAATAGTTCAGCAAACTCGCCGCACAAACAAGACATTTCAGACAGCAGAATAGGAAAACGGTGTACTAACCTAATAAATAATGCGTGTGGAATGTATCATTAAACTCGGTGGAAGTGCTGTAACAGCCAAAGGAGTCTTAGAAACAGAGAAGTTAGATGAAATCCGTAAATTTGCTGAGTTCTTGAGACTACAGATAACAGACGACAGGCGATTCATTGTTGTACACGGAGCTGGGTGGGTTTACGTTTGTTTGTTTTTTTTTTAGCTCTGTTTGTGTTTTGTTTTTTTTTAGCTCTGGGCCAACACTGACGTACCAAAGTCAGCCTAACTAGCCAGAGGTTGGTCATCCGGTGGCTGCCCCTACATTTGGCTTGGTGGGGTAAAACTTCAAACTCTTTATTACAATACATGTGAAGTACGTACAGTGTTTCTCATTATCATCAGGTGATGAACTCTCATAAGTTGCCATGAATTTAAAACTGAGATGTACTGTACGTGAGGTCTTGACAATAAATGAAAAATTTACATGCTTCAATCGTTTCTTTTATGCTTAAACAGCTCATTTGGGCACTTCCAGGCTAAAGAATATGGAGTTGCACAGGGTTACCATGGTAACCAAGATCATGTTAGAAGTGACCGAGTCAAGATGGGGTTCTGCAAGACACGAGTGTCTGTCACCAAAGTAAGTCTAGAATGACCAAGAAATTTAATTGTTCATTCTGTCAAAACAATCTGCCGTCTAAGTTGAGATTTATCTTTGTGTTTTTTTTAATTGTAGCTGAATCATATTATTGTGAACGAGTTGGTTTGTCAAGGAGTCAACGCTGTTGGAATTTCTGTAAGTTCAGAAGGTGATTCCATGTACTTGCTGAGTCTTCTTAGCTAAGCTGTTCTTAGCTCTGTGCATGAACTGAAGAGAATTTTGTGTGATTTTTAAATGACAGTGCACAGTTTTTGGAGTTGGGCTTGGGGTGTAATACTCTCCTAAAAGAATTGTTGTTGTTATTTGACCTCTACAAAAAATACCCCCAAATGATAAAAACAAACCAAACAAACAAACCAACCGAAAATCACATGTAAATGAATGTAAACACACGAAAATGAATGACACAGCTTTCTTGCTTTTTGTTTGTCCTTTTTTGGCTATATCAGCCTTGTGGTAGCTGGGTGACTGATGACGGGAGTGTTGTTCAGTCTGATATAGACAGCATCAAAGATCTCCTTTTGGAAGGCTATCAACCTGTGATGCATGGTGATTGTGTGTTGGACAGATGCAAAGGTTGCACTATCCTCAGTGGAGATACAGTCATAGAGGTATGCTGTCTTTTGGGCATTGGATTGGGGAACTATTTCCCAACAGTTAAGGGGCCGGCATTCTTCCCATTTCCCACTCTCTGGGAATTAATTTTAATTTTTCTTTTCACTTTTCAGAAACTGTGTTCAGTATTTCGCCCTAAATGTGTATTATTTCTGGCTGATGTTGATGGTGTATATGACAAACCACCAACAGACTTTGCTGCACAACTGCTTCCTGTTATAACAATAGGACATGATGGTGAACTTTCTTTACCTGTAGCAACAACACAGCAAGCACATGATGTTACTGGAGGTATTTTGAAGAAGTTGAAAACAGCAGCTTCAATTGTAAGAGCAAGCAACAGAGATACCTCAGTATTTATATGTCGCATAAACAGCTTGGCAGCTTCCAATGTTATGACTAATGGAAAACTGTTAGGAGAATTTGGAACTGAAATTAAGATGCAGTTCAGTGATGAGACATTTCATTGAATCACCCAACGGTTAATTCTGTGAGGATTAGCAAGGAATACCTTTCGTATCGAAGATCTCAATCCACACATGTTTTCATTATGTGCAAAAATTGAGTTTTCCGCTGTACACGTTATATGAGTATTCATCACTTGCTATTCTTTCAATAGAAGTTGGGAAGATGGCTCATTTTTGTGGGGAGAAAATGCAAACTGAAATTCTACCGTGTTTGGTAATTTACTATGTTTCAATACACAGTACATCCAGTAAATATACAGATGCAATTTGAATGAGTTTTCCAGATAATTTGGACTTTTGAGTTTCATTTTTCTACAAACACTATGGTGAATAAATGAATAATCACTTGTTATTGTTTCAATATGAGTTGGGAATATAGTTGACTCTTTTTGTGAAGAGCAAATACACACTAATATTTTATCATGTTTGGTACTTCACTAGCATGTTTTATTAAACAGTAATCCAGTAAATATACAGATGCCACAAGTTAGAATACACCTGATAGTTTACCTGATAAGATGGATTTCAGAATTTCATTTGTTTTATAAATGCTATAATGAATTTTAAACAAATTTTCCAACAAATTTACAGCACAATCAAGAAGAGCGTTGACTTCTTTAAAAGAGAACTTGGTTTCTGTTCAACAACTTAAAAGTGATTTCAGCTTTATGAAACATTCTGAAGAATATCTTAACTTCAAGGCAGCCCTTACAAGACCATCTGCCTGTAAAAGCTAATAACTTTGCATTTATTTGGCATTAAAAACACCAGTGAAAACAGGCACACCAAGATCATCCAAGTGAATACACATTAAGTACCCATAAGTACAGAGTGCAACAATTGTACAAAGAAAACACTAAGGAATAGCGTACTCCATTACTTAGCACTGTGCAGTCACATTGGAATAACCTAGCACATACATGTACATGTAGGCTTTGTCCCAATTAGAAACTCTCCGCTTCAGTGTCATGAAGGAATCTCTACTGTCAACTTTGGACATACTTCCTCAACATACAACTGCATCTATAAATAAGAAATAATCCAAACAAGTCATTTTAATGGAAACATCCCTCACACAATGGAAACCCACTTTGGAATAAATGGTGCAACAGTGTAAAGAAAGTTCTAGAACAAAATCAAAGCAATGGTTGATATATATTTCTTTCATACAATCCTGTGTAATTGTTTCGAAGGTGCGAGATATAAGCAAGCAATAACAGCACTACTTGGAAAAAACGATTGAGATTTTGCCAGCTGTGTCAGTTCTAAATACCTTTATTAAATCAGATGACATGGCCTTCAGTGGGGTCAGCCTAGAATCACTCAGACTGTAAAGATGTTGGTCTGCTTCTATCCAGGGAAAGTCCTGTGGGTAAAACCAACAAATTTAATCTGCAGTCCGAAACATACATGTAGGCCTATAGATCTTTGTTACATGTATGACTATCCATAATACCATGAGTACTGTTGACCACTATGCGGTAGGTTAGTAGGCAAGCACAGAAATTCTCTCCCGACAGAAAGCTTGTGTACTTTACTACCAATAATTATCAGTTTAGCTGTATGGATTAACAGCCAAACATCACATGCACAAGTTCTTACAATGGTTTGCTAGCATTAAAAGCAGACTGCTCTTTATCTTAAACTGTGAAAATGTTACGTGTTATTATGAAAACCAACTGAAGGTAAAAAGTTTGAAAAGGTCCCCAGTAGGATCATACATATGTATGTCACTGACCTGAATGAACTGACTGTTTTCTATGGAAAACACTGCTGAGCTTTTGGTGTGCACAAGAATTTTAAAGGAGCAGTCTGGAAAGGAAACAAGTTATGAGAGTTAAATGACTCTTCTTCATACTTGATATTCACCTGCCTACTCTGCCATTATAATAATCTGTGGGAACGGTTGGTCCAGTGACACCACATGTTCCAGGCTGAACGCATCCTTGTACATACAGAGTGCACATATTCACTTTATAAATGTACATCTTGAAGCAGCTAATACACTTTATGTACACATATATACATATATAGGGACACAGGTAGGTATGTGAAAGCCTTCTTGGAAGAAATCTTCATAAGAGTTCCATAGAGCACAAGTTTTGCACTGTCAAGGACACTCTCTTTGCTCTCACTCTAAAAGAATTTATACAATCATGATGGACATCCATTAAGAATGAAAATAGACATTCTTGTCGGACTTGTGCCAGGACTTCTTCCATACCTGGAGGATTGGCCTGTAGGGAAGCATCACATGTGCTGATTCTCAATAAGAATGCCCTAAGTGATTGCTCCATCCTAAGTAAGTAGCTGTCACTGGTCAGACTGCGAGATGCTGGGGGAGAGATTTCAAAGACAAACCTCTCTATGGGTTGATGGTCTGAGCTGATGATGACAATAGACAAAGATTGAATCTCATCCTAGATGATCAAAGGAGAAAATCAGCTGATGTCAAAATTTAAAATCTAAATCACTAAAAATTCAAAAGTATGAACCCATGTCTTAAAAATATGCACATTTACATGTATTTGTAATAACATGTGAACTTTTACTAGCTACTACAGGTTGTTATGTGGAGAGGTTCACATCTGCCCTTTTCTCTGGTGATGAAAACTTCTAAATGCCTCAGCTTGAAATTATCAATGTGCAACTTCAGCGAAGAAAACAGTTTTGAGTTCAGTTTCAAACTTTGGACAATAATAAGTCCATTTGGGTCAGATTTCTTAAAGTTTCTTGTAAAAGTAAATGCTTACTTTCTCCATCAATGGTTTCATCCCTTCCAGAACATCAGTAATGTACTTGTTGAGTTCTGGATGGCGAGACATCTTTAAAAAATGCAAAGAGTTACGGAATGATTAATTCTCTTTGGCACCGGTAGAAAAGAGAATTCTCATCTCCTCGGAAGGGGGAGGTCGCATAGTTTGTTGCGTATTTGAGGACTGCGTTTAAGGGATGCTGGTCAATCGCGGTCATCATGCTATACCCTTCATTTTTCTAATTTCTGTGTTTCTTATACAGGTAATATGTATTTAAATAATCCACATTCAAAGTACATGTACATGTATCTTCTGCGAACCAGTCATTGGTCGACCTTGGAGCTTGTTCGCTCATCTAAGCACTTGATCGCCTTCGGGGGGTCAGACAGGAATTTTCAGATTCTCTTTTTCCTTCCTGTTTTTCGCCTGTCTCAAGGTCGACAAACAAAATGCTTTTTCACATTAATTGTCGAGTTTTCAAAGGTAATTGCATGTATTAAAACATTTTTTAGGCTTCAAGTAAACTGTTGGAAGAGTGCAAGTGGAAACCAAATGTTAGCATGATGAAAAGGCATGTCTAATGTTCAATTTGTAATACAGTCTGAATGGGATCGGAAGTGAAACTTTTAAAATGGAAGTTTACATGTACCTCCTCACGTTTGGCGGATGGTAACAAATACAAGAATCATTATGGATTGTGTTAGTTTGCGAGACAAAATTGAACGAATGTCTTATAAGCATATATTCACATGGCCAGGTGCACATTATGATCAAGCTGGAAGTGCAGGATTGTATTTCGAAGCTATGAGTTCGGGTATGTGTGACCATAAACCAGCAAGAATAAAACATGGAAAATAGAATATGCACTTGTATTTTTATTCTGCAAGTCTATTGCAGGAATGCAATATGGTTTATTACCGGGCCTGAGATGAGATTACATGTATCCTGTAAGAGTGTGGAGTACATGTACAGGTACACTGTATCTTCTGTTGGTGATAAAACATGATGTGACTTGGCTAACTGACATAATCACCATACAAATAAAAAAGATCAAATATTGAGAGTCTTTAAGGGGCAGAGCCTTCTGATTCTGTGAACCAGACATTTCCCAATGTGACAATAAACTGCAGACTTCTATGCTTAGACTACGTGTACATGTATGAAGGCGTGAATGTACATTTTGTTGGTTTAATCATCTTACCTGTACTGGTATGTTGTACTTCTTTCTCCGGTCAAAAATCCCAGAGGGATACAAACTTCTGACATGTAGGATTTGATGAATAGCTACCTCTAGGAATTCACACAGTATGTCAGCGGACACTTGGATAAGGATAGGAAAACACCACCAAATATAATTAAATGAGTTTGGGTTGTGATGGGTGGTTAAAATGAGTAGGATGAAGATAAATCTGACCAAACATGATCATCCCACCAAGGAAGAAATTTCTTCCCCTGTGATCTTCCTGTCAATATGGAGACACCCCAGGTGCCTTCAGGAGTGAAGTTATCCTGAAATTCTTTGCATGTGCCTAGAATCACCAAAATATGATTGTTGAAACTAGAGTTGCTGTGATTCTTGACTAAATGAAGTGAATATATAATTGCGGGGCATAGTGGAAACAGGGCAAAGTGACAGCAGGGCGATGGGGTGAAGTGGAGATGGGGTGAAATGGCAATGGGGCAAAGTGGTTAGGGGGCAAAGTGACTGACACTGAAATGAAATACTACATGTATTTGTGCAGTAAATTAAATGGTGATAATGAAATGTTAGAATTAAAATTTAGTGTGATAAGATTAAAGTTGAGTGCTCTCATTAATAAATGTTTGAGCAGCTTGCAAACATGGAAGTATATGTACAACAATCCTTTGGCTGTCAAACAGTGTTTTTTGCTTATCATACATGTATGTGAAATTCCCAACCTTAACACCAATATACTGCACATGTGAGCATGAAGGTGTTACAGAATTTGTAGACATGTATGCATACATACATGTAGTTGTGGACGAATAAATGAAAATGTATACAGTTTTGAAGTTCATGCAAGGTTAAAAATTGTCAGAAGAATCTTTCAAGAAAACAAATGCCACTTTCACTTTACAAATCCATTCAGTTAGTGATGAATCTTGAAAATACAAGAATGTGTAGACAAGTACAGTTGCAGCAATTCCTGTCCTACATGTATGTGTAGGTCCCTAACTGATTCATTCTTCTTCAAGTCTAGTCTACATGTAGATGAAAAACACAAAGACAAGCAAGCTGAACAATGACTCAGCATGTTACATGTATGTATGTAAAAAGTTCTGTCATGTCTAAAAAATTGATGAAGTGTGTGCAATTGGAGGAGAGACTGTCGCATCCTAGCTCTACAGTTGGCTGTGTACAGAGGCTGTGGAAAGTTTAGTGATTTTTGTAGTATTTTCTAAAAACATTTGAAAATTTGTTTCAGTTCCAGATTCATGTCATTTTAATACATGTATTTCATCAACAAATGACTGTTACTGTCACCATAACTGATGAAAAACCCTTACAACCAAGCCGTATGCAAAGGAAACAAATTCTGTTTCCAGATGGTCAGTGACCGTGGCAGCATGGTAGCACATAACCGTCCATGTCGAAAAACAAGACTTGTTATACAGAGGGCGCAAGTGGAACCGGCAAATATTGTGGACCTGGACAAACAACATGTACATACATGTACATGCCTCTGAAAGAGTTCGGTAGCACTAGCATTTGTATTTCAAATGACTTCCCCAAACTGTTTAGTGTTTTACTCTTACTTAGGTACATGTAGGCCTAACATGCCTAACTGGAAAATTTCTGAATATTTATAGATGAATGCGTAATGAATGCAATGTCAATGATGCATGACATCATGATGACATGGACATGATTGATGGACTAAGAACTTTATACATAACTTGATCACTGCTTTTTATTAACTAGAAATGGGTTAAAAACCAATTAAAGCCACTGTTAGCTGTAAAGCTTTCCAAAGAACCAGATAATGCAGTCACCCAGCAACAATCATAAATATGAAGTGAACATGTGGAGGCTGGGCTTGCTGGCTCCAGCGCCTATTAATACTAGGCCTACATCATGTATTTGACTAGGCCTAAAAAAGTAATGTAGTTAGTGCCTGACATGCCGGAATTCTTTTCTTCCAAAGTTCTTTTTTTTTCAACTCACCCTGCGATAACTTTACTCCATTGTCACTGTTACCCTCCTCCGATGCCATAACTGCAAGTTATATCACATCATTACCGGGAGCAAAATAATGTTTGCCAGCTTATTGATAATGTTGATGCCACACACCCTTACATGAGTATTATGCTGTACATTCATTCGATTTCGGCGCCACACGGATAGCGCCACCAAGAGCTAGAAGAGAACAAAATTAAAGTTATTAAAAGACAGTCTCTGTTGACTGACTTTTTGAAGAGGTTTGTGTAAAATTTGAAGCTCTATAGTCCACTGCAAGGCAAGTTGTCCTCCGAGGTAACAAGAAAATTCAGGGATTCATTCAGGAATGGGCCTGTTCAGGTGCTACAGGTTTTTTCCCTAATATTATAAGGTGTCCAAAGGAAGAATAATACGAGCGTTTCACAATAGTCCGCCTCCAAGAGTTTGCAACGCGTTTGGCCAACCTCAATGCGCGGAACCCGTCGACCCACTGCGCGTATGGAATTAGTCAACAAATTTTGCTCCTTGTGATTGGCCAACGCGTCACAAACTCTTGGAGACGCACTACTATGAATGGAGTACCAAAGTGAATACGTTACGCGCACAATTAGTGTGTAAAAGGCATTAGCGCGTGAACCAACACGCGCGCGTACTCCATTCGTTTGCACTGCACTTTCTGGTTCACAGTGACGTCACACTTCGGTACTCCATTGCCTGTATTGCCATGCTAAACCACCTTCCCTCAGTCCTAATATTTGCTTCTTTAATAATTTTGAAGTTGTTTTGGTCTGTTCTTTGAAGACCCCAATCCATGAAAATAATAGCAAACTGCATTTTCAGCTGCACCGTAGTATTTATTTTTAGATTTTTTTGTGCGTGCATTGGGGCTGAGGTAAAACAGCAACACGGATTTGTTCCGTAGCTGCATGTACTTGTCTTAAATGTGCACTTTAAACTTTGGACAACAAATCAGCAATTACGATAATGTAGAAAAGCACAAACTGGACTCAGTGTTACAACGACGCTAATAAAACTATTTATAATCTTGATATTGCTTGTATAAACCACCCAAAACTGAGTTAAGCAGAGAGTGCACATACCACGTGTGTGGTCTCCAGTTGGACTTTTTCAAACGACACTGTTTTAATTCGGGTAAAAGGAACGACAAGTATGCACATAATGCCAGCAACGTCTGAAAATAACTGTGAATCGGCATGGTTAAAATGCTACACATTAACAATAATTACCCATTTTTTAATACAGTCAAACTAAGGGAAATTATCTCGCCATCTAGCCTACAGTCAAGTGCACGGACACAGTGGATCTGCATGCGGTATATGCCCTGAACACACTACAGGACAGCCATAGAGAAAGGAAGACAACCAACTTTTGGCAAGATGAACTGCAACTCCTTTTACTTCGATTCTTCAAAGAACGAAATCTGTCTGGATAACTGTGGAGGAATGGAAAGCGCCTCTGACATTGTAAAAAGCACTGTCGTAGGAACGATGGCTCTGTTAATCATTGTGGGTAACATCTTTTGTGTTGTGGTACTGTGGAAAACCAAGGAAATCCATTTTATCTCTCGACTGTTTATGGCATCTCTCACCGCAACCGACTTGACTTTTGGTTTCTTAGTTGTTCTTCCAGTCGCGTTTTCGTCAGCATATAACAAGTGGCCTGTTAACCACGACTTCATGTGTCAATTTCATGAAGCGGCAACATCTATTCTAGGGGGTGCCTTAACTATGAGTTTACTGGGTATAAGTATTGACCGCTGGATTGCGGTCAGTAAACCACTCCGATATTCAACAATTGTGACTCAAAAGAGGGCTCTCATACTCATCACAGTTTTATGGATTTTACCGCTGTTATTTCGACTCATTAGCACGCCGGCTATTGGTGCCTATAAGTTGCAGTTCCAATCAGATAGTGACATGTGTTGGATGTGTACTAGACAGACAGGCCACACCGTATACACGGCAGGCGTGGGCCTTTTCATGTTAACCCCATTTGTAACGACACTCTTTATATACGCCCGACTTCTACGGATAGCTCGCCGACTCGCTCGGCGTATACAACCTAACAGCGTGCCCCGCAATATGGATGGCGAAGTGTTCAGCGCTCATGCAAAATCGGCAATAACATTCCTGTTAATTACTGCTACATTCGGCATTTGCTGGATGCCTTTCACCGGAGTCTGGTTATATCGGGAAATCACAGGAGAAAATACCCACAAGTACATCGTTATATTTGCTGAAATGACTGCGTTTTCTAGCAGTTGGCTAGACTGTTTAGTGTATTACTATCGAAGTAGAGCATTCAAGCAAACGGCGCGAACAATGATCCGTAAACTTTGTTGCAAGTTACGTCGGCAGAACACGGAGCAGCTTTCAACTATAAGAACTATTAATGTACGGGAAGCAAATGAGCTTGAGTGTTCAACAACCTCAGACTGGAAATAGACTAGTTTCACCATACTGAATGCGGCAAGAAATATAGTTAATTCTTCAAAATCTAGAGTAATGATATACAAAAATGAAACAGCATTGCCATGCTTTTACTATACCGACAAGCTACATGTACAGCTTGTCTGTATGGTAAATGCATTTTTATCAGATTAAGGATTTCACATCTGTTACTCTTTCAGAAATTGCCCTTTTGTAAATACCTTTGTTTATTCTTCTTAAAAGAACATTTTTTTCTCTTGTATATACAAGATTTATTTTCAGATTAAGGATTTCACATCTGTTACTTTCTCAGAAATTGCCATTTTGTGAACACCTTTGTTTATTCTTCTTAAAAGAACATTTTTTCTCTTGTATATACAAGATTTATTAGATTAAATTTCACATCTATTACTCTCTCACTGAAATTGCCCTTTTGTAAATACGTTTGTATATTCTTCTTAAATAACATTTTTTTATACAAGAACAAAAATGTTATTTAAGAAGAATAGACAGAGGTATACAATAGGGCAATTTCTGAGAGAGCAATAGACGTGAAATCCTTAATCTGATAAAACTGTCCGAATAAACTGTCGGTGAAAAACTGAGTATTTCGGTTACAAAAAGACAATTTAAGATAATATAATGGACGAGATGCAATAAATTTATCTATTAAATGTAAACGGATTTCAAGCTGGACTCAAAAACCATCTTTCCAAATAAACACTTCAAAGTACAAAGTAAAAGTCAAAAGCACCCTATTAAGAATGAAGAGGTACATGTACTCATAACTTGACACCTATGCGAGATGCTGATTATGAACGTGATTTTTTTATTTTATGAAAAAGATTGTACATAAATCATAAAAATCAGTTTACCAAAACGGTCAAACAGTTTCAGCCACTACATTTCACTGTTATGATTAGGAACAGTTACTAAACTGTTACGTAACTCGGGCGTTTTTACAAATTATGCCGTATACATTCTCAACTGGGAATGGCCTGGAATGATAATGTACTTTTCTCTGGCACTGTGTCTAAAAAACTTCTTAATTAATGTTAGGAATTCACACTTAACTTATTTTATTCGCAAGATGAAAATTAAAAAATATAGGATACATAACATATTCAAAGATATTTTCTGTATTGTCCTGGTACAAGCGCGCTAACCACGATATGTAAAGTCACTACAAGCATCGTCCATTACACTTGGGTCTTCATACAGAAGACACTCGTGCGAGCCCTCGCAGGGTGGGAAATCTTGCGGATCCACACACTGAGAGAAATCTCGCCGGTTCTCATCTTGTGAGTGATCTTCATTCAGCTGAAGAAATATAACATGAAGATAAAATTAATAAATTTGAATATGTTGGCAAGTAAAGCATTTTTGTCATTCATGTTCTCGTTGTCACTGTCACTGCAGTGATCAAACCATGACATGGCCGTTGCACAGTCACTTTAATACGGGACTTGATATTATCCAAACTTTCAAAATCAATGCACCAGACGGCTTTCGATTGGATATTGATCCAGACAAAATAACTGCAAAAGGAATGACACCGAATCACTATTCCCCAGCGAGTTCTTTTCCAAAGTGACATATTGATTTTGCAGATGGCACCGACCGCAACAGCCCTGTAGGAGGCATTTTTCTGCCCACTGAATCCCACAAAGGACAGGAGTTTGTTTCTTAGTAAGCCGGCGGCTGGTTGTTGTAATGAGCATGTCACGAACTTGCCAGAATCGGCCGATTGTTTCTCGTAAGGAAATCATGTCCCCTCTTGTTGTGAAGCAATGCGCCCCCACAGCTACTTGCCCTCCACGTGGACTTGGAGCATTTGCAAGCACAAAAATTTAGGATTCATATAAAAGTGACAAATTGTTTGATGCTTTCAATTGGCCGCTTGTTTTTAGCATGAAATGTCTGTTATTAACAAAAGACAATTCTTTGCGGTGGTGCGTTGTATGGGGAGACTGATTTTTTCCAAAGATAAAACGTTAAAATCTCATCCGACCGACACTCAATCTAACATTTTTCTAAAATTAAAATCAAACTAGAAAAGAGGGGTTTCGTGTTTGAAAGGGAAAGTTGATGTAATAATTACAGCAAACGTGAAAACACGTATAATGTACAATGAAACTTTAACTACATACATTTTCTCGCTGTTCCTGCATCAAATCAAGTTACAAAAAAAAGTTTCCTTTCCAAGTTGTTATGCACTGTGAGCTGTATCTCAATATTTAAGCCGATTAAAATGTATACAGAAATGGATCCGTGATGTTTGTCGGGGAAAAGAGAGCAACTGAATAAAACGAATCAGTTATAATACTATTATTTATCATAATATTAGAAAAAAAGATATTTGTCAATTCTTTTTTTTTATAAATGCGTCATGTAAAATTAAAAGAATTAAATTTGCCTTGTGGCAACTTCGCGTGTTTCTAATGCTTGACACTAACAGAAAGAGCAACGTGTCTTGCTAACGATCGTCTACAAAGCATATCATATTGCATGGTACAACACGGATACAATTTTGCATTTGGAGATGAAAAAAATCCCATATCCACGGTGTTTGTGTCTTTCAGTAGGAATTTGCAGTGTTTACACACAGGCCAACGACCTCGCATTATCAACGTCGAATTCTAAAAAAATATCTCATCGCTAATTTTTGATTTAACGCTTTATCTTCTTATACTTCGGCTTCAGTCTCTCAGGCCATTTCTATTAGATTAGAAACTCTACAGTGTTGTTTGTGTACTTCACTTTCCCTAAAACCTTTAGAGGTGTAATGGACCATAGCGTTGAGGAAGCCTACAGATTCATTGTCATCTTGATGTATTTCCCATGACAATTGTTTTCCCCACGAGTTTGACATCACTGAACGTGCGCGTACGAATCCATATGAATAAACGTCAATGGTTTATTTTTTTCCTAGGAGATCTTGTGTGGAGTTATGAGCGGGGAAATTTGATAATTTCTGCCAGTAAACAAATTTGTCTAGCTGAAAAAAATACCAATACATGTACACAATGAAACTCCTGGCAAAAGTTAAGTAAACAACTTTCAAAACAACTTAGAAACGTATGGAGGAGATGCTTCTTTACAAAATCCAAATATTACTCTTCTGATGCATAATTCGATAAAATATGAAAGTATTTATCTATAACAGTTAGGCTTATCCCTATTTTGTACAAAAAGGCACACGTAAAATGTTTGCTTCATGGAGTATAAAAGCTGTCTAAACCTCCATTGGCTTTATATTAACGAATAACATGCAGGGGAATGCATGTTTGATATAAATAACATCAGTCTATATATCAATAGATAACCGGTTTATCGTTCTGTCAAGAATCCCGCACAGTAGTACTCTCAGGATTGCTCTTAAAAAACAACCTCCGTGGTCGTCAAAGGTTGCAAATAGCAGAGTAATGGACAAATCGATGACAGGTACGAAAATGCACCTCGTGATTTAGAAGAATGATTGCGTTGTGCCAATGCGTCCGCATTCCACGCATTAGGTCTAAGTACTGTACCTTCGGCATATGTGGCAGCAGGGTTATACGACCCTGTCTGAATTCAGGGCTCAGACCACTCCATTAACAGATCCATACGTCTTAGTTTAGGGAGAGGCAAGTTTAAAAAAAAAAGAGTTTCCGTACATGACAGGAACTTTGAATATTTAGGTGTCCTGTTCAGTAGCAATGCCTCTGTTTTTACTTGAATGTGTACATGTTCACAATTCTGTAGTAAGTGAAGTACTTTACTTTTTAAGGTAAGATTTAACATGGATTTACAGAAAACGACATTCCGTTATGTCATCATTACCACTATCAATTTTTTCTGTCCATGTTTGATATATTTTTCATAAATTTGAATTTTCCACCCTAACAGCAGATCACAAAGGACTCATGCGAGTTAACACCTCAGCATTCACTGAAACATACATTGATACCTTTTAGAATTATTAACGGATCATTGACCTTCATCGTCTTCCTATTTGCAGCCAGAGGGAAACTAAACTACTGGCGATTAATTCCACTCCTCGCCTGCCAGTCATTCAGCCAGTCGGAGTGATTTTTAATTTACAATTTAGCAGTTGTCACTCATGCTGCTGAGGCTCTCCATAGCTTCTTGCGAGCAGTAGTATATGAAAAAGTAAATGAAAAAGCTTCAGGTGATCGCCCCGAGGATCCGTTCTCAACATAGCCGTCGTTACTAGGATTCATAAAGGAAGAAGTTCTGAAATATATCGCCTATCTAAGGATTATCACAGGACGTGTGATAAAAACCCTCAAGATTAACCACGTGCCCCAAGGACTTGTCGCTCAAGATTTATTTACAAACGTCCATACGTCCTCATGATAATCATCTACACAATTCAAACAAAAAACCCGGATTCACTCGATTTTCTCAACACGCTGATGTTCTTCATAAGAACCATGTATAATCATTTTGGAAAAAGAGTTTTCCCCTTCGTGATCTATTCAAATTTTGACTTACATCTTGATTTTCAAAATACATGTCGTTTTCGTTCGAGTCCTGGAAGTCATCAGGTTCGTTCTCAAATCTCGAATATGGATGTGGAGAATCCTGCCAATCCGGTCTGCGACAGAACCACAAAATATACGAGAATGAAATATGTTAACTGTTTGTCAAACCAAGGCTAAACGCGACTAGCTCCGATTATTTTTACCTTCGTTGGAAATTAATGCCGTAGAAAAATTGGGTGTACAGTGTGGTTCTCAGATCTGATGATGCACACGATATGTTGGTCAGGTAGCCACCCATACCATGTGACCAACTGACAACATCACTGGGAAAAAATGCCACTGCATCCACAAAGAGATGGTCTCTTTTGCCAAACTCTTTCCCATTACCATTTGAATGCTATTGTTGATATTCACCATAATCAGGTGTTCCCAACTACAGACTCATCGATTGAGCTATCCATGCCTGTCTGGCAAATCGTCGATTCTGTCTTTTGGAGACGTTAATTAAATCAAAATCGCACAGGCGAAAATCAATGTAAACATATCTCATGCTGCATCTGAAAATAGCATGGGAGGTGGCTTTCGTCGTATTGATTACTTAAAAATATTATATCTGAATAACGCAGAGCAAGGCACCAAGGAATCTTTGGGTCAAGGAACCATATTTCAATTTAAAATTGACACTCAAAGAGACATCAGGTGGTTATTTTCGCTAAATACCTCATTCTGTTGTAGATGACAAGAACTGTGATGTAGGATACCAAGACAACAACAAAACCAATGGTGATCCACAAAGCAGCGTGGTTTATGACGCGTCTTGTTCTTAATGAAAGTTCATAGGCTGTCTCTTCATGAGTACTTTCCTCATCTCCACTATCACGGTCATCTGTATTAAGCAATATAAAAAATGCATGACGAGGGCAGTCAGACACTTTAATGTGTAACACAAAGATCGTGCCGGAGCGTGACTGGTTTAATGATACTAGGGAGCAGAATTACACAGCATAAAGCGCAGATACACGACATTGTATGGATCCACACAGGTCTACTATTTGCTAAAATCCTCAGAGGTTCAGCAAATAACAAATTATTATTCCAGTTCTAGATAACCCTTGAAAGGTAGGTAATACTAATTTGAAATAGCCATAACTTCGTGTTTTGTGTGCACATTGCCCTGCATATTCACTATGAGCTCATCCGAATCTTTCTTCTTTTCAGCACCTAGTCTAATCAATATCCTGAACAGACAGGATGCCACTCTAAATCATCTCCTGCTGTCGAGGCTTATATCAATGAGAATTCATCCGCACTTCACACCTGATCTAATGCAGAAAGCGAAGTGCAACAAACCTCCCCTTTACCATACTGTCGGGGCGTGTCAGCACCCCACAAGGACAAAACTACAGGTGTTGAGGGACGATGTTGCTGTGATAAAAACATACATAAGGTAAATCTACCCTTGAAATGTGACGTGTTGAGTACGGTAATATGTGTTTCACTAAATCCAATGTGAAAATTTATTTAAAAAATTTTCCTCTGTTGGCTTTTATGCGTCTATTTCTGTTATAATCTACAGTATAACCTATGAATTGAATTGCTTAGGTTCCTTTTTAAGTCTTAATTTTACGAAGCAAACTGACTTGGCGCCGTCAGAGATGGCGGCCTTTCAGCCGTTTGCTCTTAATCATATTTGATAACGAAAACTGACCAGAATGTGCAAATTCATAACATAGGTAATGGCAAGTATCAGATTTCCTGTCAAATGCAATTTCATTACAAAAACTTCATTTACTTCGCAACCACTCAGGACTTTAGCCATTTTCAGTATATTGTATCTTCCTTTTCGATCGCCAGGCCCGTGTACTCCGTATATCGTCTATTTTCCTGACCCGTTGCTAGAGATATTGAACGATTGACATAATTAAATCATCTCTTCCATTTTGTCCTCCCTAGAAGGAGAACATGATATATCTGTGGTAACATTAGCTGCAAAAGGGTCTTTGCTCGAGCGGCGAAGCCTATAGCATGTGGCGAAGAAAAGCTGACGATAGCGAGGAAGCGCACTAGTGTTTGTAAGATCGTCGAATGGAATGTGAGACGGAAGAGGAGAATCTCTATCACATGACAGGATAAATATCATGAGAAGGAAATTGCCGGGATACTGTAGCTGTTTCTCTAAGTGGCTGTTTTTCTTTAACGCGTTGGCGATTTTATCAGTTGCCGTCTCGGATAGGATGATGTAGTTTTAGTCTTGGCGCACGTGCGCACTTTGTGACTAAACTTTACCGTGACTTCCAGTTCACTACAAAAATGAAATAATTGATTTCGCACCAAAGTGTGTAATTTCAGATAGGTGGTTCAAAATGCCATTGTGATCGTATGCCGTAGACTACTGCACGTAACTCTTAGCGCTTAAAAACGAACTGGTTTCATGTGTGAAGAAAAAGGAAGGAAGACACTGGGTTAATACTTTTGAAATTTCAGCATTTAACCATCGATATTAATACCAACCTCTGAGCAACGTCCCTGGACACTATTTACGGCGAATATCACCCGCAAAACAAGCGGCGCCGCCCCGTGAGGGACAAATTCAATCCACGTTGCTAAGTGTTTTCCCGCGTCATATGATAGGAATTCCATCAAAAAATGAAAGATTTCTCGTTTCGAGTGGGAAGAAATACAGCGAGTGCAAAACCAGTCGCTCGGTGAAAGCGCTTCAGGGTATCCAGCTCATAGTGGAAGAAAAAGGAGGACGATAGGTGAAAGATATGCCGAATAATATCGTGTATGACACCCAAGAAGCGGTATATCCTGCGGTACTATTGATGCTCAACACGGAAGGATGAATGGCGGATGCAAGTCTCTCGTTATGATTACAATTGCAAGATTAAAAATATGGGTGGTTTCCTCAAGTAGGCAGCAGCTGAACTGATTGTCTGTAGGCGCATGGGTCTGGTTTAATTACTACATAGTGATACACCAGGCGCGGCAGGCAGAATCTAAATAATCGTAGATACAGCAAAAAACTACGGCGTGATTAAGGGACGATATCAAGGCTTCGTATTAAACTCAGATTATGCTGATCGAGAAAAAGAAATAAAATGCTACGTGTTCTGTTGTGATATACACTAAATAAGTGGCCGTTAATTACTCGTAACTTATAAAATTAACCAGACAAAACTTAACAAACACTGATTTTTGCAACCACACAGCAGTGCATGTATGTGCATATAAGAACCGACCGTGATTTCAAATGCAGAAATCTTCTTCAGATATTTGCCTCAGGAATATCAGCGATCCTTTCTGGAGTGTCATCACAAACTAGACGAAGCACTGACAGGTACTTGACCACACATAAGTGTTTGTTGTTTTAGACTTACGGGCACCAGAATTGAAACTCCAAACGATTTCAGATGATATGGATTTGGCTGTTTTAAAATGTGAATTATCCTCTGTCTGGACAATAATAACTTTTCACAGTATTCGTCATCAATCAAAGCTTTTTCTTTTCATGTTTGTTGTCACCACAATTGAAGAAAAGCATGTTTTTTTTTCTCGCAGCCTGCAGTAACAGTCAATACTCAAAATAAGAAACAATTTAGGAATAGAAGATGAAATGGCATTAAGTGCAATAAAGACATTTGTAACCGGCAAAGAGTTTCTGACTGAAATGCAATACCTACTGCACTTGATCAAAGATATGAAAAAAAAAAGTTTAATGAATATGAACCTACCTGCTGTTGTGAGCTCTTCCGTTACCTTCTGTGTGCGTGACGTGCTTGTTGTGGCTTTTGCTAGACTCGTCAAGAAATCAGAACTTGTCGTCTTGGCCACTGGCAGAGCAGTTTCCAATTCGTAATTTTTAGAAGTTTTGGGTGAAGGATTACCCTTCCAAGTAGTGAGCGATGTTTTTGTCGAGGCTTCACTTACACGTAGTCCTTCAAGATGGTGTGGCGTCGTATCAGGCACAGATGAAGATGAGGTATCAACATTCAGGGTGACCGTCGTGGTATGTTGACTTGAGTATAAACGTTGCTTTGAAAATTGAGAATTTGGAGTAAGTATATCCTGAAGGTTTTTGTTAACAAAAATACTTGTGGTGCCAACACGTGTGTGTAATTTCTCTGGTTGGGACGTTGGTTTCTGCGATGTATCATCAATTGATGTTTTGGTAAATGATGCTGTAACAAGTGAAGCTTCCGTTGACGTTGATTTTGCTGAGTCTTGCAAACGCAAAGAAGACGTTGAAGGTTCAAAAGCAGGTGACTGAAATGGCGTTGCTGGATTTCTTTGGTGGTTTTCTGAAGTGCCACTTTCTTTATAATCTACAGTTTCATCTCGCTCACCGATATAGGCGACAGTGCGTTGCACAGTACTGATTCCAACTGTTGTATTTTCAGAAATCGTATCATTAAGCAAATCGACGTTTGTTTCCGTCAAAGTTGAGGGAACAGAGGTTTCATTTGATGTATTAGCCTGTGAAAGAATACTTTTGGCCCTGTATTTTGATGTTGCCGTGACGTCGACAAAGTCTGTGAAATTGGCAGAGGGCATTACCTCAGCTAGCGGGGACGCCAAATGACCTTCAGGAAAAGAGAAAGAAATCATTCAAGACTTATCAATGAACAGGGTGGGCCCCACAAACGCAACTCGCAACACTCCCATAATAATTGTCAAAATTATTGTTTTGGCATCAAAGGAAAACTTTGGAAAGGTTACTCTTGGGTCACTTTTTTGGGGTGTATAATATTATGCACTCTATGGAAACCATTCAGTTATACGAAATTAGTTAAAAGTGCCTTTTCTTCAGTTCCAAAATTCAGTGTAGTGGTTAACACTTTCTTTGGTAACTTCGTCAACTGTATTTTCTTTTGAAAGACAGAAAAAACGGCGTTTTTCTGCGACGTTTACACGTGCACTTCATTTGTAAGGAATAAGTTTCATAACCACGGTACATAAAAACAAATGAGATGCAGATACATACGATTCGACCTTGGGAATTTCTTATTCCAAATGAATTTGAAATTGCTCGGATCAGGATAAGACCTTAGGGTATTTCCCCTAAATCTAATGGCTTTGCACCTGGCTCTGTGTCACGTGATATTTCCATAAGCACCTTAAGTGATACTGGACTGCGTTTCGTGGAATGGAAATAAGTTAATTGGTAATATTATAGGAGAGATTAAATTCAAACAACACGGTCCTATAAACATGATACGTTTCTCATTTGAGTGAACATGCAGGGAGAATGTAAAATGCATAATTGTGCGCCGTATAAAAACCAATAAACACGTCCTTGCCTTAATTGTAAACATGTAACCATTTAAAATTAAACACCTTCTTGGAAATAAACGTGTTTGGGTGTTCAGAGAGTATTACCACATGATAAACATGTTTTGTGTCTTGTTATTAACACCCAAATAAGCCATTGTGTCTAAATCTACCAACAGATCAACACGTATTAGTTTGAAAAATAAACACCACAACGTGTTTAGCTTTGGATTATTAACACCACAACACGTTCGCAAGGTGTTACCAGGAGGGAGTTCAAAAGGCATTAAAACATTAACACGTGTTTTTAAAGTGCGAGCGTCCTGAATCCTCTTCTTTTTCAGAACAAAAGTCAGACGTGCGTTTTTTTTTATTTCAGTTGATCTAATTTAATGAGAGATGTTGCCATCCGTACTGCATCTTCATTAGCATAAACACACGATAAAACGTAACAAAGCTAATGTGTTTGCCAGTTCATTATCTTTTAATAAAACAGTTTCATTAGTGGGCTTGAGTGTATTCATGCTTTGCTCACCTGTTTTTACACACAAAGGATCCAGCATCTGAGACATAATGCGCAACTAACGAGTTTGAAGGACGCCCCGCTCAATGTCGATTATTTACCGTGTAAATACCAATCATTGGGTGCATTAGACATGTATAGAGATGAAGTGTAAGCTTAGGTTGGGGGCAAGAACTAAGATGGATTCGGTATTAACTGGAATGATTGTTCAGTGAAATAAACAAATTGTACACGAATGAAAACACAGTTTGTAGACTTAAAATCCATATTTTCTGATTACTTCGAATTCAAACAAAAGAAGCATCTCAGGAATAGATTTTATGCATGGTTGAACATTTCGTGGTACCATTATCATTAGGACGTACAAAGCTTGGTTAATGGATTAGTCACGGCTGCTGATCCATAACTAACATAACTAAATCAGACGAAACATACCGCGCACCATCTATCTGATAAACAGAGCAGTGTCTCTGCTGTATACTGTTCAGCAGGCAAAAGCAAAATTGTGCTCTTTACGGACACAATTAAGTCTTCTGAAAGACAGCATCCATTCTGAATTTGGAAGCCCCTGTGGAATTTGTGCATTTTAATGAGACAATAAAGTTTTATACGACAGAGCAGCCATTCTTAATTTGTAAGCGGGTTTTGCAGTTGTACTTCCGCCCATATTGATTGATCAGTGAAAGTACAATTTCCAATTTCCAGCTCGAGGAAGAATGAAGGAACACGATCTGCTATTGCATTAAAGGTAAAACGACCAGACAAGTGGTGAAACTTTCTTCTGTTAACCCTAACAGGATGTGATCCTCTGACGCTCGATGAAATAAGTAAGGAATGTATCATTACTGAATATATTATGGCTGTTGGATAAACGTCATCCATATAAAATAATACACGTAATGTATTAAGAGATTCTTATGCCTTTGTTTCACATCATGTTCTACCACTAAATGTTACAGGAAGTCTGCAAATTTAGCTTAATGTCGAATGATAGCGTGGAATGCTTCAAGGTTAGATAAAATGAAACCGCTACACGTCAAACCACTGACGCTTATTTATATTAACAGTTCAACATTGGGACGGGTTACACTTGCAAGAAAAATGTTGTTAAAAATTCGATCCAATCCATTTATACCGCTATTTTAAGGCAGATCACTAAATTTGGAACAACAGTGACAGGCCTCGCAAAGGCCACAACAGTTTTACCCTGTTACAGTGCAAGGATATAGCGGATCAAATTTCCATTTGGAAATTCAATTAAATTACACTTTGACGCATTATTCGGAAGAACAGCTACATGTATAAGGCACCACATTGCTCGTGATAGCTACACTTCGGAACAACGTGAAGCTAATACTAAACTAGGAAGACAACTACTGCTGAATGCTGAACCCGGACACAAGCTTTTACTTTATCATGAAGAATATTCAAGGCTGCATGGAAACTAAACAAAACTAATCCATTATTTTGCTTGGGTCATTGTTTTTCAGCCAAGACTCATTGTCTCACCTAATCACAATTTTACTTGAACCATTGCCCTTTTAGAATATACTTGCAATCTTCCACATCATGAATAAGCCGTGACTTCACTCCGTGTAACTACTGCCAATTCTTTGGATGAGGTGTTAAATCCACCTACCTGAGGATGCAAGCCGCAGATGGCTTCCAATGACAGACAGCCACAAGAACCAATGCATCGTCATCGTCATCATCATTACCACTGTCGTTCCCTTCCTCTCTAACCGGGTTCTGCTCTCATCATCCACCGTGAGCTAATGACACATTCTACCGTCTGCTGCAGTGATTTATACGACTGTTGAGTGTTGCATGGGAGTAAGACGCTAGCTGCGCAGACTATCGCCAATGATGTAGTGTATGCAGGGTAACGCATTAAAGCAGCGACGGGTGATATAATGGAGCAGCTTATACTGAAATGCCAAAAGAGGGAAAGCATGAAAACCAACAAGGAGGTAGTGACAAAGAATACACAGCATTGGAGGTTTTCAGAAACAATGACAAAGATGAGATTATACTGAAACTTGGCCACAGTGTGATAGCAGTCTGCAGAAATATTCATCAGAGCTTAAAGTGCTTTGGGGGAAACAGTTGTTACTTTACTGGTAGGCAGTTAATAAACTTAAAACAAACGCTATCTAATCGACTACACCTGAAAGAAATAAGATTGAGTAACATATGAAAAACATAATAAATCTCAGTGGAAAATTACAAAGAAGGGGAGGGGGACTGAAGCAACTGCAGTACCCTCACTTTCACAACATTTCTTCGTTATCTTCCTCTTTTCCAGGACAGCTTAACTTAAGGATACTTACACGGCCTTGAATTATTAAAAATTTATGGGGAGGGTTGCTGAAATGCAACCAATGTCCTTATTAATTGACGAATGAACCTGTGATGTTCGTTGCTGATGAATTATTCAAACATTCATGTAGCTTTGGTGTCTGAAATCACCCTTTTGAATTATTTGTGATCCTCATGAATATAGCAAGTATCATTACTGTTAATGGTGTCGCTTTACTCCACTCGGGAATAATTTGACTCCTTACCCCGCTGAGAAAGGTGTAATGAGGGTCTTGAGGGAATATCCAGTCGTTTATGATGTATAGGGCCTGTGAAACTACTGCTAATTAAAATTTCCATTTGGGGATTAAAGAGAAACAATTCATCCACTTCAACATAATAATGAGGAATATTTAACGTAAAGTGCAGCACTTGTTCATTTTAAGTCGAAGTCCTTGTGCCGAAAGGATACACTCACAGATAAGATACTTATCTGCTCTACGTATCCATTTGAGGGCACTATAACGTAAATGCAATACGTGTAACACTAACAGTTAACGTGTATTGGCAGTGTAGTTTTAGGGGCACAATTTCTTTCATAAGTGCATCTTCCAAAAACTCAGAAATACCTGTGCCCATCCACTATCCGAATTTCAATTTATGCCTGTATGATCACTACAACGAAGAAAGAAGAAAGAAATACAGAGTACCGGTATCTCAGTCTTGCCGTAAGACGAGATCAAATCACGACAAGCAAGTTCATAAATATCACCAGACGACATTTCAGCGTAACATTTCTATACGTTGAACTGCTGATCGTTGGACCCATTAGTTTATTGAATTGTAGAGATGCACAACGAATTCAATCAAATGCTTGGATGGCATTCCATTCCAAGTTTTAAGTACACTTAGGAGATCCCAAGGACTACAGAGATTGATTTTGTCGGCACTTTCGAGATGCATTTCCATGAGCGGACCTAGACAGTCGAAACTGATCTGCGATCACATTCGGTGATTATGATCATAACAACAATAGGACTGCTAAATGCCTTCAAGTGGTTTCCATGGAAACTGTCGTTTATCGGATACCGGTACAATACCCCAGGGGTTTTAACCAAATATGATGAAAGACTTTGGATGACATTTGGTGGTCTCAGAGTAAAGCTCATCCAGTCATAAACACCCTTATCGGATTGACGTCCTTCAGCTTATATTTTTACTTGGTTCCTTTTTTTACTGGTAGACGCTAACACTTATCCAATACAAAAGGTTTAGTTAAATTAATCAAATCAAAACCTACCTATCTATTTTCAACATGCTGGACATTCAGTGTTAATTCTCTTTGGGATGATGAAGCCTAGGGTCGTAAATCGTACGCAGGTACAGCGTACATTGTATTATCAAATACACCACTCCCACTCTCAAAAAAATCAATGCAATATGGCGTCGTACAGTAATGATTATTTCTGCATATCTGGTAGTTTAGTACATTTATATTTTTTCATCAATTTGATCATTTTACCAATTTCCCACAAATTTGAAGGGCACTGACTTCTGGCTAAACAGCGGTAAATTGCGTGGCGAATTTAGAATGCAAAATTATCAACGACGGCGCTATTCCTCAGCATTTGATTAATTCATGAGATTATTTTACCGTCGACCCAAACTGCCGAGTCCTGACTGGAATACCTGATTACGATCCTGGCTTATCTGAAGATTTGGAGCCGAAAACTGAGGAGTGCAGCTGGACCAGAATTTGCCTTCTCAAAAGGTCCCTTGGCCAAGAATTCCAATCACTTAGCGAAGTCGGGGTAGCCTCCTGGGATAATGCAATCAAATTAATGTTTCTTGTGTTCACAATATAGCTTTTACACTGTAAGATTCCAGTGAGAACACAAGCTCTGCGCAACGCGGAAAGCCGTGGCTAAAAAAAGATGTCTTTTGAATGCAATCTTAACGATGACACTGCAAACTAAACATTTCAAATTAACCATCCTATCTAAACGTTTATTGAACTAATGCATTAGTCGGCAAAATGATAAAATTTTGAATTTCAATTATTCGCAAAGCAATTAATCAGATGATGCTGTGGTAAAGCAATAGACCCCTTACAATTGGTACTCGGTAATACATGTAGTTCATGGACAAGAAACCATTAAAAAAGACGTGAAGTGAAATCCCTATATTAAATTATTGTGGTCAATCACCTCGAATTCAACATTATTCAATAACACAGACTGTCAATGCAGAATTCTTTTATGAGCACTCAAACAACAAGTTGATTAAAACTACAAGACATCTTTTGTTGTAATTGAGGATGAAGAACAAATATTGCTTCTGAGAATCGTTACATTTAAACGTCGGGTCCTGTACATTTAACTTTTAAAACAAATATTGTACTGCAATCTAGCGAGGCAAAGTTATCCACACATTTCATATTATTTGTTCTTTTAAACGCAGTATTTCCGTATTTAAATACTCTCATTGAAACATTTCAAAAAGTTTTTTCATAATGTCAACACGTTTCGTTTAGTGAGCAAATTTCTTGACACTTCTTGATACAAATACGTCCAGAATGAACTGATCATTTGATGGGCTCTGTAGAATTACTAACATAATTATTAACTTCTAACGTAGTTGGCAATTTTCCCTAAACGTAAACAAAGAAACTCTAATTTCATACATTCAGTTAGTAAACTTGAAGCTTTTAGATTGAGTACTTTGACACTGCATCTTCATTTGACCTGCGTCTTAAAAAGTACATCTCCTGTCGGGAAACATGTTATTCAATTACTGTTTCGGTTTGCCTTCAACAGCCCTCCAATTCAAACGCAAATCATTGTCCAGTTTGTGTTTAGACACCTGCTCCCCACCAGCAGGATTATGTGATTCTAGTCTCTGTAAATACTGCAAATTGTTTCTTTTGCTTGAGCCACCTGTGCCAAGTTGGGACGCCCTGAACGCACTTGTAGCCGCAGAGGTACCACTCTTCAGTATCCTTTGATGTCCAATCTGGGGAGCTTTATGCATAAATCGAACTGCCTAATTACAGCTCAAGTGGTGAAGCAGTTGTTTTCTGTCAATTAAAAATGTTTCTCTGATACGAATCAAGCAAGCAGTAATATTTTACTTCTACTTAGGCGTCGGAAAATTAGATAAGACAACTTTGATGATTCATTGATTAAGAGCTTCTACCTGTGACAAGAAAAATTCAGTGAAGTGACCTAAAAGCCCTGTTTTTCCAGAGAAATATAATAAAAAAAAAATGACAGGCAGCTGTAATAATAATGTAAGTCAGATTTGCCCCGTACGTTACCAATAATTAGGCTCATCCTGAAAATATGCTACTGGGCGTAAACATTTTCAGCATGCAATGAGACTTGGAAACATTTAAACCATTGTTTAACATTAGTGTTTCCCCAACCAATAATATCCGCGAACGTGGAAATGTATTTTTCGTCCCCTCATCTTCCCTGCAAAGGCACAAATGAATGCACAACTCTTGCTCTTAGCTGATCAGAATTACAGACGCTTCAATCAAAGCGTCAATTTTGACGGCGATGACAGTATTAGCCCGGACGGCGCGTTAGAGGCCTGTAATTGCAGAGAAATCATTGCTGTTTTTTAAGTTGACTGTAGAAATCCTTGCCTTGCAGCAACGAATATGAGTCGGCTTGGTCTATTAAAATTGACAGGAAGGACTTATTTTAGGTGAGGTATGCTTCTGGGCGTACTCCAGGGAAAGCAGATATTGAAGACAAAAGTAGAGTACCACAGAAATTATTGGCAAGAAGATAATATTGAAATGAAAGAAAGCTGGTTTACAGCCTTGAGCTGCAATAAAACAATCTCATAACGTTCATTCAGAATTCAGAGTGGCCCATATTCCAGGTTTCAGCATTCTGTAAACTTCCATGGATGAATTCTGCTATGAAAGGAACACAACCCAAACTGTACCGCACGATTAAAAAAGTAAGAATATTTGATCGATCTCATTTATGGCTTTGTTTTCGTAAACTGTGGTTTGTTTTCAAATTTTGTGTAAAACCTGTGCGACGTGTTTTGAGATTGAGGAAAATGGTGTTGTTGATTTTTCTTTGATTATTAACTACAGTGATGTGCGGGAATCTGTTAATATATCGCGTAATTTTTCAAAGGGGTGGCTCTTTCGGAGGCATAGCCGCCAGCGGCGGCGGCACAATTTTCAATTGGGGGTGGGGCAGTTGTTGGACCATTAGGTATCAGTCATTAATAGGTCGATCCGTTGAGCCCTACCCAATTATACGACCTGCAAAAATGTGGGGGGGGGGAGGGAGGCACCAAGTCGAAAAAATTGGGGGTAGGGGCGCTGGTCCCCTGCTCTCTCCACTTCCGCCGCCAGTGATAGCCTCATCTCAATGAAACTTCACAGCATGAGAACATTCAACTGAAACGCAATCTCATCGAATTCAAACTGCTTTTGTAACAAAGTCATTCCGTCACTTTTATCTAGTTATGAAGGTAGAATTTTATATCAATTCTGAGCAAATATATTAATATCTTTTTGTAACAACTAAATATTTCCAAACAATATATAAGTACTTAACACATCATCTACTGGTTATTGTCAAACCTTAATAGAAAAACCAAT